GGAGGCGGAGGAGGAGGAGGAGGAAGGGAAGGAGGAGGTGGGCCTTGCCGGCGCTGGCGCCGTGCGCAGGCTGGCGCACCCCCCCCCACATACCAGGCGCGGAGGAGGGCCCCGCGCTGCACATGGCGGCGAGCTTCCTGTCGGGCCTCTGCGCCCAGGTCGCCTCCCACCCCGCGGCCACGGCGATCGGCGGCTCAAAGATGGGGCCCCGAGGGATAGGTCTTGCCCTCCTGCCCCTTTCCCCCCTCCTCCCCCTCCCCCTCCTCCCTCCTCCTTCCCCTCCTCCGGCCTCACCCTCCTCCTCCTCCTCCTCCTCCTCCTCCTCCTCCTCCTCCTCCTCCTCCTCCTCCTGGCTGTTGAAGCATGCGGTCCGCTCCCAGCTTCTCCCTCGAAGAACACATGTTGGCGCCTCGAGAGATGGGGCCCCAAGGATAGGAGGTTCTTTCACCGAGCGCGTTCCACTACTCGCAAAGTGCCTACTCTTTTTTGGTCGCGGCCGCGAGCGAAGAGCGCAGGCGGCGAGAGAAGTTGTCGCAAAGTGCCTACTCGCACACGTCCGAAAGACAGACGTCTGCTTCGATGGACTTTCTCGTAGGATCCCCCGCGGCGGATCCAGGCCATTTGCGAGTAGTCCCTTTGCGAGTAGTGGAACGCGCTCGCCTATTCTTTGAGGGATGCGTAAGGCAGACTCCATTTCGATTCTAGCTGACCCGATCCGTGTTCCGACGATACGATACTGCATGGCGCTGTCGTGCATCCTTGCGCAGCTGATCCGATTCGACTTCCATTCCGTACCGACGCAGCCCGATCCGATGCACATGTCGAGTCGATCCGACTTCGCGATTCGATGCTGACTGATCCTGCCCTCAGGACAGGAGGCTCCCGAGGGAGGCTCCTCAGGGGCTCCTGATCGGGCCAGGGACCCCGAGCCGAACCCTCGCTGTCCCAGGCCACTCGGTCCCTCAGGGCCCAAGACGTCGGGGCTGGTCCTTAACAGTGTTTTTTGTTTTCGTTTTGTTTCCGGTTTCCCTCGTTTTGTCTTCAACCCACCTCTGCCGCAAAACGAATACGAAACGAAAGCGGCCCACGAAATCGCCAAAAGACCGCTCAGGTCCAGCCCTGCCCCAGACGTCGGGGCCCCCTCTCGGCACCGCCGAGGTGAAGACGGTGCTCATGGACCGGAGGGCGGCCTCGGGGCGTGGGGCGGGCGCGGTGGGGACGCTGCTGGAGCTGCTGTCGCAGGGCGGCGTCGGCAGGCTCTATCCGGTGAGCGCTACCGCGCGTGGCCGCCGCAGGGCCTCGGGGTTGGCGGCGAGCTCAGAGCCCTACCTGATGGGCCTGTTTTCCACCACCACCACCGTAAGTTGGAGGGGGGAGGGAGGAGGAGGAGGAGGAGGAGGAGGAGGTGGTGGTGTACTTATGGTGGTGGTGGTGGTGGTGGTGGTGGTGGTGGTGGTGGTGGTGGAAAACAAGCCCACCACTACCCTCGCTGATCCACGATGCGGGCGTCTCGATGGGCGGGGGTAGGGCTCGGGGGAAGAGGGTGGGGGCAGAGGCCAGGAAATGCTCCACAAAGTCGTCCCCAGACTATTTTTTGGACTGTTTCTGAATGTTCCTCCTGTAGAGGGACAGGCCCGACTTGAGGCCAGGAGCGCTTCCGGAAGGCTGAGGGCACAGGTCAGCAAGACCAGCCAGAAGCGCAAGGCTGAGGAATTCGTCGAGCACGTGGCGAAATCCGAGCCCTACCCCCGCCACCATCGATGCAGGAGAGTCGGTGGTTGGTGGGCGCAGGGTTCGGATGTCGCCACCGATAGGGCAAAGCCGAGGGGGGAGGGAGATCAGGTGCAACGTGAAGGGGGGGTGAATAGGCTCGGGGGGGGAGGGATAGAGCTCCGAACTTGTTCGGACGTTGCCGCTGCGTTTTCGGTGGCTTTGCAGCGCGCCTCGCCGAGAGCGTGCTGGGGGTGCCTGGATCCTTCCGAACGGCCGCCGCGTGCTGGGGTGTGCCTGGATCCTCCCGAGCGGCCTCCTGCGAGCCGAGGAACGGAGGCCTTCGGAGTGCCGCGCAGACTCCCCGCCTCGGCGGCGGGGGAGGCCCAGGCGGCGGCGGGACCGCGGCGGCAGCGGCGACGACGACGACGACAAGGACGGCGGCGGCGGCAGCGCCACGGCGTGCGCGGCGGACAAGGGTCTGCTGCCCGCGCTCGCCTTCAAGGCTCCCGCGCCCGCCGTCGCCGTCACCACTGGCGCCGCCGCCGCCGCTGTCCTCGTCGTCGCCGTCGTTGCTGGCGCCGTCGTCGCCGCCGTCGTTCGGGGCTCAAGGGACGGGGGTCACTGCAGACGGGGGTCAGCCAGAGCGCGCGACCTTGCAGGATCCTGCAGAGGCCAGGGTCGCATTGACCCCGGGTTGGGTGCAGGATCCTGCAGGATCCTGCAGGATCCTTCGCATTGACCCGGGTTTGGGTGCAGGATCTTGCAGGATCTTGCAGGATTCTGCGAGGCCTGACTGACCCGGGTCTGGATTGACCCGGGTCAGCAGACCCCCGAGTCGTCGTCCCCCCTCACCTCCTGCTTCCGCTCCCCTCCTCGCCCCTCGTCGTCATCGTGTCGTCGTGGTCGTGGTGGTGAGCATGGGGTCGTCGTGCTCGCGGGGTCGTGGTGGTCGTGGTCGTCGTCGAAGGCTCCCGCCGCCATGGTCTACATGCCGGTCGTGGAGCAGTTCAGGGCGCGGGTGTTCTGCGTCGGCTACCTGTGAGGGAAAGAGAAATTGCGCCCGGGAAAGGAAGCCCGATATGGAGGCGAGGGCGGGGGGGAGAGCGAGCGAGCGAGGGAGAGGGTGGATGGAGGGTCGGATGGGTGGTTGGAGGAACGGAGGGGGGCGGAATGCAGACAGACAGACAGGGAGGGAGGGAGGGACGATGTTCACGGTTGCGATGTTTGTTGTGATGGTGAGGCTGAGCATGAAGAGGGGGCAGGATGAGGGAGGGAGGAGCAGCGGGAGCTATGGCACTTCAAGTAGCGGTAGCAACAGGAGATTGTCTAGGATCATGTTGAGGTGGACGAGAAGGAGGAGGAGGAGGAGGAGGAGGAGGAGGAGGAGGAGGAGGAGGGGGGAAGACAGGGAGATCCCCGCCTCTCAAATGTTTTTTCTTCTCCCCCGTCCTACTGATCCTCGACCCTCTTTCGCCTACTCTTCTCTTCCCTCCACCGCTACCCTCCTGCTGCTGCTGCCCCTCCTCCGTCTCCACCCTGTTTTATTGTCTCTCCCATCTCCTCCCTCCCTCCTCTGCGCCTCCTTCTTCCGCCTCTTCCTTCTCCTCCTCGTCCTCCTTCTCCTCCCCCTCCTCGTCGTCGTCTTCGTCCTCCTCATCCTCCTCCCCCTCTCCTTCCTCTTCCTTCACATTTGCACCTTGTGGAAACTTCTCTTCTTCTCTCCCCTGATATCGTGCGGGAGATCTTCGGCACACTCTGCGTTTTTTTTTCTTTTGCACTCGTCCTTCTCCTTTCACATCCTCCTCCTTTTTCTCCTGCTCTTCCTTCCGCTTCCTGCTCACCGGCCAACTCCGCCTCCGCCTCCTCCTGCTTCTCCCATGTACGCAGCTCCGTTGCGCATGCCACGATGGGGTCTTTTGGTTGGAGTTCAAGGTCGGCTATGACACGCGTTCGCAGATAACAAGTTTCAGCGCAACGGGAAGGGATGGGAGGGAGGGATGGGATGTCAGATGAGGCGCGAGCGCATCTATAGCTTCCATGTTCCCGCTCTTCCTCCTCCGATGGGCCTGCCATCAGGCCATGCATTCCGCCCGATGGGCGCGCCATGAGGTCATTCCGCTTCGACGGGCGCGCCATCGTCGGCCCCCTCGCATCCCTCCGCCCCTCGCTCGCCGCCAGATGCTCCATCCCATCGCTCCACCCCTCCGTGCCCTCGCGCGCCCGTCGGGCGCTGCCCCCCCCTTCCGTGCAGGAGCTATTGTTCTGACGATAACCCGACGAGGATGAATCAGACAGAAAATAAAACACAAATACCCCCCAAAAATGAGAGCGCCGCGCCGGCGCGGGCGCGCCCCTCGAGGGGCCTCCGCGAGGCCCCCCCGAGGGGCCCCCGAGGGGCCCCGGGAGGGGGTCTCCCGCAGGGGCCTCCGAGGGGGGCCCCTCCGCGGGGCCTCCCGCGGCGGGGCCCCGCCGCGCGCGCGCGCTCCCCGCGCGCGCCCGCCGCCGCCGCGCTCCCCGCGCAGGCCGCCGCCGCCGCCGCGCCGCCCGCGCCCGCCGCGCCCGGCGGGGCCCCGCCGCGGCAGCCCGCCTGCGGGCCGTCGCCCGCCTGGGAGCAGTGCTGCCGGCAGCAGCTGGCCGCGCGGGCGCCGGCGGCCTGCGCCGAGGCCCCGGCCGCGGCCGTCCGCCGCGGCCGCGGCCGTCCGCCGCGGTCGCGGTCGTCGTCGTCGTCGCCGTCGCCGTCGTCGTCGTCGTCGTCGTCGTCGTCGTCGTCGTCGTCGTCGTCGTCGTCGTCGTCGTCGTCCGTCGTCCGTCGTCCGTCGTCCGTCGTCGTCGTCGTCGTCGTCGTCGTCGTCGTCGTAGTCGTCGTCGTCGTCGTCGTCGTCGTCGTCGTCGTCGTCGTCCGTCGTCGTCGTCGTCGTCGTCGTCGTCGTCGTCGTCGTCGTCGTCGTCGTCGTCGTCGTCGTCCGTCGTCGTCGTCGTCGTCGTCGTCGTCGTCGTCGTCGTCGTCGTCGTCGTCTGTCGTCCGTCGTCGTCGTCATCGTCGTCTTCGTCGTCGTAAACGCGTTCACAGGCAGTGCTCTCAGCTGGGTCCTCAACGGGTCCAAGGAAATCAAGGCGTTGATCTCCAAAGGAAATGACATGTAGGCAGGTACTGCTTGGGGCTTCTAGATCAATGGGATAGACTCCCAGAGCGAGGAGGGCCGTTTCGTCGACGTCGGCGAGTGGGAGGTCAGCATTGGCACCCTTGGCGCGCGGCGATTTCCAGGGCACTTCGGAGCGCCGCTTCTGAAGTCGATCGTCTGGGTGTCCTGGAAGCTGCCATCGCGCGCGTCTCTTTCTGTGCGAAGTTGGGTTTTCTCGTGGACAGGTCCAGGGCCAGGGCCTCGTGGGCCCAGCGGTGCACCAGAGCCGCGGAACCCAGCGCGAAGCAGGCGCGCTGCTACCTGAGGACGGGCGAACCCGCGCGGGAGGAGGTGTTTTGTTTCGTGTTGGGGGAGAGTCCTTCGCCAGCTCTCTTCCTTGTCGGCTTGAGCGTGAGAGGAGTGTGTGGATTAGGGCTTGGAACGGGAATGGGGAGAAGTCGGAAGGAGAGGAAGTTGGCACCCCTACCATGGCCATCCTTGTTCCCAAGCCGCGAGACGTTGACCAATTCCGACACGTTACTTCTCGATTCAAAGCGTTCGCGTGCAAGCCAGATGAATTCCACCCTCTCAATTTCAGTTCCTTGTGCGATGCCAGTCCACGCATTCTATCTGCGTTCTTCCATCTTGTTGATCTTGCTGGCCCTTCAGCATATTCAGCAGTTGATTGTCTTTCTAATGAGGAGACCCGATAAGGGTAGGAGGCCAATCGGCCGCTGCAGTGGTCGTGGCCCATGTCGCCGCTGGGAGGAAGCAGTCGGATTGTGCCCGGAATTGTCGATGGGTAAAGGAATGAGCGCTCTTGACATGGCGTGGCGCCAGAGTGCCCACGCAGACTTCGCGACAGGCTGTGACGCGCATTGCCGCGCGGTGTTGTGGGGCAACTTGCAATTTTAGTCGCAGAACGGTCATGCGAAGGTGCTTTATCAAAGTGCATTGGCTGAGTTTACCCTTCGTTTTGGTACGCGCGCTGTCTACGTATCGGTGGCCAAGGGCCCCTCTGCGCGATGGGACCTTCGGGGCTCCGACATGGCCAGACAGGGGTCGTGGCTGGCAGCGCGTCGGCAACAGGCGAAGCGCATGCGTTTCTACTTCCGACGATCGTGAACCGCAGAGGGGCCCCCAACGCGAGCCAGGGCCTGCACGTAGACGACGCGCCAATCCATTCGCGGGGCCACGAGTTGCAGGGGGTCGTCGAACAGTCGAAAGGTCTTGCCGCGAGCTCGCTACCGTCATCGCGCAGACTTTGTCAGGTTCCTTCGTCGAGAAGAAGGCGGTGGCTGCGGCTAGTTCCACGTGTGCCTCTTCAAGGTGGATGAGAGTGGGCGGCTACCAACTTGGGGTTTGCTTTCTCCGCGGGGAAACACCGGGGTCGTCCTTCCGGCAGGGCTGCCAGGAAAAATGATGTGAGTTCGCAAGCTCTGGCGCGGGGCCACCGAGCCGCAGTGCCTGAAGCTTCCGAAGGCTAAAAAGGGTTGTTATTTTCAAGACGCGGATTTTGTCCACGATCTTCTTCTGCGTGGAGCCACGGGGCATTGCCCCGCGAGGGCTCTTCGCATTTCGCGGAGCGGCAGCGAGAGCAGGCGGAGCCAGCGGGAGAGGTTGCAGCCTGGACCCGATGTAGGCGGCGGCGCGCATGGACGACCCCATCGACCTTGCTGCATTGGGCCCTTCGGAGGTATTCTTGGGAATGGTGGCCTTCTTCGGAACCGTTTAGGTGGGACTCGGCGTCATGGGGGCATTTTTTCTACGGGGACCTTGCACAAGGTTTTCAACGTCGTTGCTCAGAAGCTGGAACAGTCGAAGGGGAAGTCTTGGCTCGCGAGAACCCGAGGCCCCATATCGCCCGCGCCCCTCGAAGGACCCGCTGTGCTGAACAACGCCCGAGGACAAACGTTTGTCCTGACTGGGGGCCCGCCGTTGTCTGTCGCCGATAGTTTCTTTGCCGACCTTAATTGGAACTATCTCAGGAAGTACCTCAACGAGACCACAGGGAATTTAGCGAGACCCTCCGCTCGTTCAGCTCAGGACTTCTGGCCGGAGGTCGTTGTTCGGACTGCCGAGAAGCTCGGCGGGGGAGATGGCCATCTTTCTAGTCGAGTGTTAGCAGGAGCTCTCCCCACTGGCGCGGCCATGCGCAAATGGGAGTGCGAGGTGCCGCGAGAGCGCCCACTCTGCCTGTCTGGGCAGGGCGCCGCCCGTCGCAGGATTTGGGGGCGCCCGCGCCCTGGGGCGGAGGGCGGGGGCTGAACGCTTGAGCCAGGATTTTCTAGTGCAGGCGCACGAGGCTGGATCGGCCCCCCCCTTCTGTCGCGTTCGTGGCCTACTGGGCCTGAAGTTTCCAGCCCTGCCCCAGATTGGGACCTCGCGTTTGTAGGCCCAGATGGGCGAGGAGTGAGCCCGTTTGTTTCTGGCCCGTCAGAGAAGCCGTTCTCCAATGGGTCGTGTTTTCAAAGTGGGGGCCTGACGTTGCTAGAGCTGGTTTTGGAAGTGCCTCCAGGACTGACGCAGGGACGGTGCTGCGCGGTATATATGGGCCTCTGCCTGCGGGGCGCCAGCAATCCAGCAGCGACGCCGAGCACCGCCGTCTTGCGGTCGCGACTCTGAGAAGCCAGTCGTGTGTTGGAGACCTCCCGTCAGAGCCTGTGCGAGTGGAGTGCAGTGGGCTGTTCTCGGGTCTCCGTGATCCAGCTGCTGCTCTGTCGGGAAGGTCGAGATCCAGTTTTTACTAGCGGGAGATCGGCAAGAAAGTTGGATATTGAAGTTGGCCAACGCTGATCAAAGTGCAAGCCCACCGCGCGTTCAGTGAAGCTGTCGACGCCTCGGATTACGTGAACATAGCTGGGTCCACGATGGCGGATGAGTTTACCAAGCGTGGGGCCAGTTTTCACAGCATTTCCTC